TTTAACTCTATTTGTTTTGGATCGCCGTGGGTTACTGGGTCAGAAATGTCACTGCTAACTGTATTTGTAAACTTGTTCCCCTTAAAAGCCTACCTCTGCTGCAAAGTAAGGGAGAAGGTCTTGTTTTGTTTCCTTTGATGAAGGAACAGAATATCATTTGTTGGCTCTGAAAAAAGAAGTCAAGTTTAAACATCCGTTTGTTTGCTTAGTGAAATAACACAGGAACAATGTGAAGGTGACCAAACTAGATAGATTGATTGATTGATTGATTTTGATGGTGTTGAACATTAGGGCCCAGGATACTGTTAGCCTTTAGTGGTTTTTGCATTCCAGTAATATCACAATTGGGTTCTGATTATTATTTGATTAGCTGTCCATATCTCTGGAAAGCATTTATGGTAATATAAATAAAATTGGTAGAACTATTTTAAGAATATTAAAAGAACCAGGGTCACATTGATGAAAGGGAAAGTATTTACCTCTGTTAACATCTCTTTTATCTCTGAGGTTTTTTCCTGGTCAAGGTAAAACAAAGCGAGGCCGGTGATATGCCAGTGTGGGCTGATGGTGCATTGCCCTGGACACAGGCAGGGATTTTGGCAGGCCAGTCTATATTTTAGTGTCAAGATAGTTATGTAGATTTTGGTTTCAGGGACAGTAAGCATCATAGTGGATGACATATTCAATACTTATTTATGAACAGGAGTATGAGAGGAGTGTAGGTAATCTGGGGAAGTAGTCGTATTATCTCATGTATAACCCTGGGAAAGCCTTCTCTCCCCCACATTGAACCGTCATGATTACACGGATGGTCTCATTTCATTTTCTCAATAACTTTGTTGGATCAGTGTAATTATGATAACAGCCATTTTGTGAATAAGGACACTGAGGCGAGAGCTACAGAGCTAGAGAATTTAGGACATCTTTAAATTAGATTAAAATTGGGCTCATACCAGTTGGGAATATATATATGTAGATAAAGATGTGTGTATGGATACTGATGTATAGACATATATGCAGTGTGCTCTTTGGTTTCCATAATATAAACATTTCAGAGCCTTTCATGTCAGCAGGGATAGAACTTTTTAATCATTGCATAAAATTACATATTCATATGTACCATAATTAGTAAGACATTTTCTGTCAGTGGACATTTAGGCAATTTCCAGCTTTGGGCTCTTACAGATAGTGCTATGATGAACTCTCTTGCATGTACATTTTTGTGCACATTTGCAAATATCTCTATAAATACCCAAATGTAGGATTATTAGGTCAAAGGCGCTGACATTTAAAATCTTTTTTTTTTTTAAGATTATTTATTTATTTGACAGAGAGAGACAGTAAGAGAGGGAACACAGCAGATCATGATCTGAGCCAAAGGCAGATGCTTAGTGACTGAGCCACCCAGGTGCCCCTGACATTTAAAATCTTGATAGCTATTCTCAAATTATGCTTTTTCCCCTTGCTTTTCCAAGAGCATTCCTTTCCCTGTATTCTTATGAACACTAGACGTTGCAGTCTTTTTTTTCTCTCTCTCAACTATTCTGTGGGTATTTGAATACCTGGTATTTCTTTGTACTTGAAATTTGCTTCATTTTTAATGAAGCTGAGCATCTTTACATCACTTATTGAACATTAATATTTCTTCATTGAATTCTACTTAATTTCCTTTTCCCTGCTTACACATGCATTTGGTTGAAGTGGTAACGTTCTTTGTATATTATGCATATTCATATTTCTTCTTGGTATTTAACAATTTTTCCTCCTCATATTTGATTTTTCTTGTAATTTAATTATGGCATATTTTGTTGTCTAGAAATTTTTAGCATTGAATTTTAATCACATAGCTTATTCATTTCTTTGAAGATTTCTAGGATCTGTGGCTTTGTAGGAACATCCTATCTAGCGGATTAAACGTTGTGCCATATTTTCTTTAGCACTTTTAAAGTTTATAAGTTTTTTTTATTCTTGACCAATTGAAATTTTACTTTTGCTATTGATATGAAATAGGATTTTTTTTCACAAAGATATCCCATTCTTTCCCTATTTATTAAATAGATCACCCCAACTAATTTGAATAGAAAAGTAGAGGAGTAGAACAGAATAGAACCCCAAAATAGATCTTCCTGAGGGTCCAAACTATATTGCCTTAAAAAATGAAGTTTTATTATATGTTTGATATCTTATAGGGTCTGATTCCATTCTACTCTTTTCAAACAGTTTGTTAGTTTTCCATGAAAAATGTGAGTGGGATTTTAATTTTGACTGCCTTGAATTCATAAATTAAATTGGGGCAAACTAACATTTATAGTAATTTAAGAGCATAGATAACTTTACAATATTAAGAATTTTATCCAGGAAAATAGTGTGTTATTATACATATTTAGGGCTTTTTGTATTTTCAGTTAAATTTTATAGACAAGGATATCCTTACACATTTATAATTAGTGATTCCTGGGTATTTTATGTTTCTGATCTTTTCTGTCATACTTTTAAACTGTTTTGAATTTTCTTAATATTTTTTGGTTACTTTGTAGAACTCTTACTGGTTCTAATAATGTTTATGTTAAATCTTTTGGATTCTTCAAGTAAATGATATAGCTTTCTCTGCACCTAATGAATTCTGGCTCTTCTTTGAAAAAGAAAATTTATTAGATTATTACATGTAATATATATTATATTATTTATAGGTTTTTCCTATGTACCCACATAATTTACCAGACTGTGAGCAACCTGAAGATGAAAAGTATCTTACATTATTTATTTTCTACAGAATGAAATAGTGGTATAGTCCTCTGATTGCTAGGTACCTCAAAAATTGCTTAAAACACCATTTTCCAATATGGAATCATACAGTTAATTGCTTTATTTAGTTGCAGAATAACCCCAAATGAACTTTATAAACTAGACCAGTTGAGGAAGAACACTCTGACAGAGTATTTTGGGATCCTGAAAGAAGTCAGGAAGGTGTTAATTTATTGGAAACAGTTCTCCCGTACTTATATTTTTTACACACACACACACACACACACACACACGAATACACACACATATTTATTGACTTACTCTGTGGTAGCAAAATTGAGGCCTGTTCCAGGGTGGATATCAATTGAATCTTTGTTTTACAGTCAATATATATTCTTGGACTTTCAGCAGATGTAGATAAGCAGCAGACATCAGTGGAGTAATTTCCAATCATATCTGCCTGTAGTTTGCAGGACATGTAAATTCCAGATCCAGCTAAAATTTTTTTGTGTGTCTTTAAAGGTTACTCTCCTAGGCATGTTGCTTTGTAGTCCACTCAGCTGTCTGTGTTTTCTAAAAGAAATGAATATAGGTATGGATTTTTTCTTTTTTTTTGGACCTAGGACCCTATATTTGAAATGTGCATTCTAGGTCTTCTACACTCAGATATAGGAATTCTTGTTTATTCTTTAAGACTCATCTCAAATATTTTGCCCTTCATGAAATTCTCTTTCTCCAGCAAGTGAGAAAGATTACTTGGCATATTCATCTGTTACATCAGGTATCACGTTATATACCGTGTTGTTTACATTGATTTCTGTATCCCTGCTAAGCTGTGAGCTACTTGAAACCATACCTTCTCCAATGTCCACAACTTCCAGTGTCTGACATGGAGAAAGGTACAAACCCTATAATTTAGAAATATGCTTTTGGATGCAGTGATGTTTATTATGGTGGGGAAGTGTGGTAGAGACCAAATGAGTGGCTTGAGGCCATGAAAACATGTTGAAAGTCAGGAAGAAAAACAGTATTCATCCTGGTACAAATATTATAAATGACATGATTTTGATAAATTTATACCACACTACATCTGCGTCTATATATACAGCATATATTCCTGATTTATAGGTTACCATATATAGCATACGAGAGTTGCCAGTTTTCCAATAACATGAATGTAGAACACACCTGGACCAGCAGGACCAGCTTTATCGGCGATAGATTTGGTTTCTTTCATCTCTGACCTTCTGTTCTGCTTTCTTTTTTAATTTATAGCTTCTTATGTATATTAAAGCTTCACCTAGATTTTAAGATTTTGAAGACATTACAGAGTTTTTTCAGGAACAGTTTAGATACTTAATATTTATTTAATTTAATTTAAAAATGTCAGTTTTTATTATTACATGTTCATTGGACTTGGTGAATTGCACATTTCTTTCTTTTAGATATTCCTCAGTGACTTGAGTAAGGGATGGTATACCTATTTCTAGTTACTTTTCAAATAGAACAAACTCAGAAGAAATAAGGACAATCAAATTTTGGTTTTGAAAATGGAGGAAACAATTGACATAATATTTAGGAAAGCTGATGCCATCCTGGTTCTCTGCAGCTCTTGAGCAGTATTTTGATAGTCATTTTGTAGAAAGGCTCACTGAGATCTACATGCAAGTAAAATAAGAGAGGACAAATGAGAGCATCACATGCTCTGTGCAGTATATATGTGCTACCAAAGTGAGCTGCTCAGTACAGTATAGAAGTCAGTTTCAGTGATTCTGTGACTGAAATAGAATTATTGTACCGACACACCACAATGCTGGGGCACGTGTAGGTCATAGCATGAAAGGGACTCAGTGCGGATGTTTGCTTAGGTAGTAGCTTCAAGGTCCTTCTCCATGGTTCCATCAGGAACCAGTAGAGCATTGCAGCTAATATGGTATACTCCGATTCCATAAAAAGCAGTGAATATTGCTATTCAAATAATACATCCTGTGGCTGCTGTTGTCTCTCAGTTCATTAAAAGTGATAGAATGGCATACATTTCAAAATGTAAGTTATTTTTATTCTGATTGAGTTTTCCTTTTCTTAACATCTCCATTGCTTTTAGAGAGAAAACAATTGTTTCAACGAAATTCATGGTACAAAATTTTTAATTTATATAGGTTTAGATACTTAGCAGGTTTTTTTTTTTTTTTTTTTTTTTTTAAATCAAGAAAGCCATCTTTCTGGATTGTCATCTTGTTGACCTCCTCCTACAGGTTTTCAGCACATACTCCAATGAAGACTATGACAGGAGGAACGACGAAGTGGACCCTGTGGCTGCTTCGGCTGAGTATGAGCTCGAAAAACGTGTAGAAAAGCTGGAACTTTTCCCAGTGGAACTAGAGAAAGGTATGTGAGCTCCACAACATTTGTAATCTCACTATATGGCTATTTTAGCAACACAGAAATGACTTTATTTTTCTCACGTGTAGCCTTTTTCCCCCCAAAGGGTTGGATAAAGTGTTAATTCTCACGGAGGATTTAATTTATTAAATTTCAAAAGTAGTTGATATGACCTCTGCATAGATGGTAGACTCAAAGACTTTCTTCCCTTCTGCTTCCAATGGAAAGCCATCAGCTTTAGTTAGCTGGGATGGTGCTGGGAGTAGGGAGGTGTGGGTGGGGCCTGATGTTTGGTTGGTATCTCCGCAAAGGTCCAGGGCTGGTGAGAGCTCAGAAGGAGCAGGTGGAAGGAAGGGGGGCAGGTGGTTGTGTTTGTGTTTGTTTTTTTCATTCTTGGTGGAGAGGGAGTGGTCATGGTTGGTCTCTGAATGTAGTAGGTGGGGGAGTGCAGGGCTTTTGATTATGGATTTTGGAATGGAGAATCCTCTGTGAGGGGAGAGGGCTAAGAGAGCAGGGAGAATGGGAGCAGAGGGGCTGCCTTTTTGTTTCTGCTCTGGGAATCTTGGCCTGCTTGTAGTGGGAAGTGAGGACCCAGGGGCCCAGAGATTGCCATGTTTATCGTCCTGTAAGATGGGCACCAGGGAATGGACTGGGACTCAGTGAACAGGGAGATAATCACATCTCAGAGAGCTTACAAAAAAGCAGAACAAACAGATGAAAACTTGAATGACAAAAAGAAGCAAATGAAAAACCAAGTGAGGATATCAAGTATGGCTTTAGAAAGACATTCTTAAGCCAGTCAACAAACAACAAAAACATTGATTTTAAAATGTAAAATTACAGTAGAGGAACTGAAGAGGAAAAGATGGTATTGTTGAGATTCAAACTGGTGACCTCGAAGGTCAGGCCTAAGAAATGAGCCAAACTAATTCTTAAACAACAGAGCAAACATCCATGAAAAGTCATGACAGAGACCCAACATATAAACTATAGGTGACAGAAGGGGAAAAGTCAGCAGAGTATGAGAGACATATTAGACAAAACATGGAAGAATTTTTCCTGAGCTCAGAAAAGACTTGAGTCTCCTATTTGGAAGGGGTTAGCCAACTGATTGAGAGAGGACTTGAAAAACACCTGTACTTAGGCATAGCCTGGGAGAAGTCCTCATCATCAACATATAATGTAGGAATTTTACAAAATACCGCACTCAAATCAGCGCAAACAAAGAAGCAAAGGTACTTGCCAAAGCCACATTATTAGACTAGCATCAGATTTCTCACTTGTAACACTGGACGTGGGAGGCAGACATACCGTTTCACGCATCGAAGAATCCCGTTATCTGTCCCAGAGAGCTCTTCTCCTGGTGAAAGAAGGAAAGTTGCTGTATCTAAGGATCTAAAGGACACAACACCTGCCTACTTCCCGATTAGCAAGGGGGAAAAGAAACAACAACTTGTTCTAAACAACAAAGGTGAGGGGAAAAGAGTTGAAAACAAATTATTGGGCATAAAATTACTTGGGTTACAAAAATGTAAAGAATACCAGTCATTACACCAGACATGACTGGCTAATTGTTCCCATTAAGAGACACTTTTCATTTGGGGTTACAAAGATGTAAGAATGATACTTACATTTTTCATTTGTTTAAAATGTAAAAACCATTCCTAGCTTATGGTCCATACGAAAACAGCTGTGGGATTTGGCTGTGGGCCACTGTATTGCTTATAATAGCAAAAATGAGTATAATCCAAATATTCATTAATGACAGAAAAGGGTAAAATGAAGGAGGCTCAGTTCTATGCAGTAGTGTGTATGATTCTTACAAACATGAAATTGTGGGGGGGGAGATAAAAAGCAAATCACAGAAGAAGCCATTCAGTATAATTCCATTTATTTAAATTTCAAAGCCAGTGAAAATTAAATGGCGTAACGTTTAGAGATACACAAATAAATGGTTTTAATAAGTGGTTTTAAAAATGGTGGGAATGATTGATACAATATTTAGGACAGTGGTTACCAAGGGAAGAGTTATGATACCAGGGAGGGGTACAGAATGGGCTTTTCAGGTGTTGGTAGTATTCTGTAACTTGGTCAGTTTTATTTTTCTTCTTTAAACACAATGTTTTGTAAGTAAATGTTTTCATAGACTCTTTTGTGTTTTTCACAAAATCAAAGTTGAAGCTAGGAAAATTAAGCTAGAAAATAACTAAATTATTTTCAGTCTTTCGAGAAGCCTCCATCCTGTTTCCCCAAAATGGCTGTACCAGTTTGTGTTCCCAGCAACAGTGCACGAGGGTTCCCCTTATTCTGCATCCTTGCCAGCACTTGTTACCTCTCATTTTTTTGATGATAGCCATTCTAACATCCTAACTCTAATAAGGTGATTTCTCACTGTAGTTGTGATTTGCATTTCCCCGATGATTAGTGATGTCGAATACCTTTTCATGTAACCGGTGGCATTGTATGTCTTCTATGGAAAAATGTCTGTTCGCTTCCTCTGCCTATTTTTAATAGGTGTTTGGTTTTTGCTGTTGAGTTGCATGAGTTCTTTATATATTTTGGATACTCACCCCTTACCAAGTATTTTCTCTCATTCTGGACGCTGTCTTTTCATTCTGCTAATAGTTTCCTTTGCTGTGAGGAAGTTTTTTTAGTTTGATGTAGTCCCACTTGTTTATTTTTGCTTTTGGTGTCAAATCCAAAAAGTCATTACCAAGACTGATGTCAAGGGACTTACCTGCTATTTTCTTCTAGGAAGAATGTCAACTTTCAATCCTTTTGAGTTGGTTTTTATTTATGGTAAGATAGGGGTCCAGTTTCATTATTTTATATGTGTCCATTTTTCCCAGCACCATTTATTTGAAGTGGCCATCCTTTCCCTGTGGTATGTTCTTGGCTTCTTTGTCATAAATTAATTGACCCAATATGCATAGGTTTATTTTAGAGCTCCCTTTTGTGTTCCACTGATCTTTGTGTCTGTTTTTATGGCAGTACTGTACTGTTTTGATTGCTGTTGCTTTGTAACATGGTCTAAAACCAGGAAGTGTTATGCTTCTAGCTTTGTTCTTTATTAAGTTTGCTTTAGCCATTTGGAATTTTTTTTGTAGTGCCATAATTTTAGAATTGTTTGTTCTATTTCTGTGAAAAAAAGTCATTGAAATTTTGATAGAGATTGAATTGAATTTGTAGGTTTCTTTGGGTAGTATGGATATTTTATTAATATTAATTCTTTGAATCCTTGAGTATGGACAATCTTTCCACTTATTTGTGTCTTCAGTTTCATTCATCAGTGTCTTACAGCTTTCAGAATTTCTGATCTTTCACCTCCCTGGTTAAGTTAATTCCTAGGTATTTTATTCTTGTTAATGTTGATGTAATTGTGAATGGAATTCTTTTCTCTGCTTTTTAAAAAGATTTATTTATTTATTTTTAGAGAGAAAGAGGGAGCACATGTGCTGGGGGGAGGGGCAGAGGAAAAGGAGGAGAGAGAATCTTAAACAGGCTTCACACCCAACATGGAGCCTAATTCAGGGCTCAATCTTTGGACCCTGAGATTATGACCTGAGTTAAAATCAAGAGTTGGATGCTGAACCAGCTGAGCCACCCAGGTGCCCCAGAAATTATTTTCTTAATTGCCCTTTCTGATAGTTTGTCAGTGTGTGAAGATCTAAATATGATGCAGACTATATATTATAATGCCAAACAGAGAATTTTACTTTTATATTAAGGAAGCATTTAAAAAAGTAAATTAATGAAGTAATTAATAAATTAATTACTTTTAAATTAAGGAAACATTTTAAAAAGTAAATAAGTTATTTCAGTTAAAACCAGGGGTCTGATGTGAAATGCTCTTTAAATGAAATAGTGTAAATGGTAGAAAACAAAAGATGAAAAGTAACTTTTTGCTGATTTTTATTATATAATATGTATAATAATTACATATATGAAAACTATAATGAGAAGCTGAACTAATTCTAATTTTAAAATATTAGAATTGATAAGATTATATGTAAGAGGAGGTCAGGTGCCACATACATATAAGAAAATTTATCATTTTTTCTCTATATTTACTCAAGCACATAAATATGGAAATGGGAATGTTTCATTTACAATAGCACAAAAGAACAAAATGCTTATTAATCATGAAGATAAAAAATATTTATCTGTTGAAAATCCATCTTTTTGACTGATAGAAGATGTAAACAAATAGAAGGATGTACCATATTCTTGGATGAAAAGACTCAGTATGGAAAAGTTCCTCCTATTCTTCCTCTCTGATGCCTATAAATTAATACATAAATTTAATGCAGTTCGAATAGAACTGCCATCAGTGTTGATTGGGAGAGCGGATTGCATAATGTAATACTAAATTATATATGGAAAAATAAAGACCTAAGGGAAGTCTGAAAAAGAATGTGAAAGGTCTTAATTTCTTAAGTATCTGAATATAATGTAAAGCCTTTATAGTCAGAACAAATCGTATTCACAGAGCAAGTGATCAGTGGAACAAGGTAGAAAATCCAGAGAAAGATGTTAGTATGCATGAGAATTTACTACATGACATGTATGGTATTCTAATTTAGGAGCAGTAGGGTGCTTTACAAATTGTTCTGGCATAACTGAGCACCACTGTGGAAGAATATAAAGGTGGACACCTTCATTTGTGTTATATCATGTGAAAAAACAACTCCTCATGGATTGGATAGTTAAATATTAAAAATAAAGTAATAAAGGTATTTGACAAAAAATTTATAAGACCACATATCCTGTAGGCATGTTGGAGGAGGGGCTCGACCAAAGTGGGAAAGCAGAAGTTAGAAAAGGAAAGAGGGACCAGTCAATCAATCCAAAATTTTAAGCTTTTAAAGGCAATATTGTCAAACAAAGGCAATAGATAAATGATAAATTTGAGGGGGGCATCTTCGTTATAAATGACATGGAGTTAATATGTATAATATGCTAAGAACCTTCAAAAAGAAAAAAAAGACAGGGAAAACTCATTAGAAAAACATGGCAGTTTACTGAAGAGGACATCTAATGGTCCACGCTCCTACGAATACAGTCTCAGATCTCACGAGCAATAAGGGGAATGCTAAGCCAACATGAGCTTCTTTCCTAAGAGAAAAAATAAGCTCTGAGCTCTAGAGTGTGGTGACAGCATCTTTCCTAGTAACTCAGCGTCACAGTCTTTTCTGCCGTTTCCTGGCTGCTGTGCCTACTTAGTGCTTGGCCTGTCCCTAGGAGGGGATAGACAGAGGAAGACCGGGTGGCTCCTGGTTCCTGGCAGTCACAAGAATCCATGGCCTTCCACGATAGGGCTCTGGACTTCACCCGTGCCTGACACATCTCACAGAAAGCTAGCAGAGATGAAATGAGGCATCTGGTCTCTGTGTTGATTGTGTTCTTCCTTTAATTGTCTCTCCGTTATACATCTTATCTTTCAGGCAGTCAGCACTGGAATTGAGGATGGCTCAAGCTACTATCACTTTGCCAACAATTGGGTTTTCAGCTCTGCAAATCTGAGTAATTTTCCAGTGAGAGCAATAGAGTTGCTAAGGCAGGAAGAAAGATAATTTTACTAAAGCCTGAGTCCAGGCAGGGAAATGCACTTAAAAAATGAAGACATAATTTTCATGCAGGCTATTTATAAGAAGGAACTACTTAATGACATGATGGTACAGAGAATCCACATTTGAAAGGAGTTCTTTGAATGTACTGAGCATGAGAAAGTTTCACTTATAGCCCAACATTGGCTTGACATGGGGTAATTCATAATGAAGAGAAGCTCCTGTAAATACAATGAATGTGAACAAGAATTCAGCTAAATGCTTAATATATACCAGATTTCATGTGGGAGAGAAGCCTCATGGCATTATTTAGTGTGGACGAGTCTGCAGTGATCATCCCTTAAACGACCAAGAGCAAACACTCTGGGAGAAACACTTACATGTATGTAAACACTGGGAAGGCTTTGGGTCATCATTCATCCTTTCACCAACACGAATAGATTTCCACACCAGGAAACTCTAGGAATATGATGAATGTGGGCAAGAGTTCAGCTGTATAGCTAACCTATACAAATAGGACAATTCCTGTGGGAGTGAGGAAACTTATACATGGGACCAGTGAGGAAGAGCCTTTAGCACAGATCTAATTTTTCTTTTCCCCAGAAAACTTGTACTGGAGAGAAATCCTAAATGTTGGAAATTTTTTAACCAGAGAAAGCCTCTGGACGAACTTGAGTATCTATACCAGAGAAACAATGAGAATGAAATGAATGTGGGAAATCACATGTGTGCATACATTCTAAATACAAGGAATGAAAGAACTTCTCCGGCGATGACTTGTACACTAGTCACCATTAAACTTCTCATGCTGGAGGGGCACCCCTGCCTAAAATCAACGCGGAAGTACGTTCATCTGGGGATCACATTGATCAGGTCCTCCAGGGAGAACACTCTACGGAGCTCTCTTTAGCACACAACTGAGTAAACAAATCACACTTTTCCCAAACGATATGTAGAATACAGATGTAGGATTATAAATTGGACTTAGAAACACTTAAAGCAGAAGTTGGTGACAAGTAGTAATGATCAATGAGATCAGCCCTGTTCAAGAGATTACTGATTAAGAATGCTTAGTGTATTAAATGTTATTGCTAAGAAGTCTTAAAAGCTTCAAGCATTCTGCTGACTGGATGAGCCAGTTTTCCTTTGACAACCCTTTGTTGTTGATTAGAGAGTGTCTGTTTTTTTATGCAGCCTATACAATATGGTTCCAAAGATTTTGAGGCTATCAGCCAATAACTTTCAGTGCTGACCAAAAAATGTAGAATGTGAAATCTTTTATTATTATCTTTTATCTTTTATTTCCTTGATGTTAAGATACATATGTTCATGGAAATAATGGATAAACACATTATTGTAAAGGAATTTAAAAACGTTTTTGTCAGTGTTGTTCACCAGAAGAGGAACATGGAAACTAAAATGAATGCCTGTCAGTAGAGAAGTGGTTGTGTAAGTTATGATACCATCTAACCATGAAATATTACGCAATCATTAGAAGTGATTTAAGGCTATGTAAGTTGATATCCATGAAGTATCATTGAATTAGCTGCAGAGAGAACTAGCTTTAACACGATCTTATTTGTGTAAAGCAAATAGGAAGGAAAAATGAGCCATTGTTTATACACACATATACATATATGTATATACATTTATATATATATGCATATATACATATATATTATAGCTGTTGATATTTTAAATGCTTGGATAGTAGGAAAGTACTGAAAGACACATGCTACCTTATTAAAGATGAATGGGGACATGAACCAAAAAACCAAAGACCATGTAAATGAAGGGGAAATTTTAGATATATTATGATCACATTCATTTAAAATAATATATATATGTTTGGTATGTATGCTTTTGTGTTTGAAATGTATTATTTAGAGAGGGTGTGTTTTAAGGCAGATTGATTACTCCATGATCAAATTACTGCTTTTTCTTGGGATCGCAAATGAATAGCCAACTGCAGTAATAAAATGAGATTAAACTCACAAGCTTTTTGGGGGGCTCCTGTTTAACATCTTTGCGCCCCAGCAGCATAGAAAAAAATATTCTGCCAAGACAAATGTGTCATGAATGTGTCATATAGTCCAAGAAGAACAAAACTAAAAGCAAAAAAAAAAACCAGGTCTCACCACCTAATTGTGGGCTAGTGTAAAACTTAGGTTGTTGCATTGTTTTTCCCTTTTTCATAGATGAGGATGGACTTGGTATAAGCATTATTGGAATGGGTGTTGGAGCAGATGCCGGACTTGAAAAGCTGGGAATATTTGTCAAGACAGTAACAGAAGGTGGTGCTGCTCAGAGGGATGGCAGGTAAGCTAACTTGTTAATAACTAAAATCTTCTAGGAACTTTACTGGGAATTTCTTTCAGTGGTAGCTTTCTTCTTTTGATTTTTTTAGGACAGAATTATAGAGTGTGTCTCAGAAATGGAAAAGGTTAAAACACTTGAATTACTTTCTGATGCCAGTAGAATGCCTGCTTTCTTTAATGTATGTTAGGTAAATGGGTGGTTGGGTCTTCTGTCTCCATCTGTCTCGCTTTTGTACCTATCCCATCATCCCTCTGTCTAGTGGGAAATGGGCAGAAACGTGGGTGTATATTGTTTGGGAATATGTCCTGTGGAGATCAGCATATAGTTTTCACTTCAGAAGTATTGAGACAAGTGGTAATATTTCTGACACTTTTGAGAATGACAGAGGTAGAGGGGATAATAGGAATCTTAACCCTGCAATGATGATAATTCTGGAAATCACATTTTTCAAAATGTATTCTGTCTGAAAACACAAGTTCTTGAGTGCTAACTAAACCTGTGGAATTAAATGTTCTGGAGAGGACTCCAACAGTCTTTACTTAAGTGTCCGCCTTGGGTAATCTGGGTGGACACCAGCATGTTGGCTGATTATTGTTTTAAGTCTTAGCTTTCATCATCTCAGCCTGCAAGTATCTCTAAAGATTCTGATGAATCCCCACTCAGCATTCCTGCTGCATCGGTTGGGGCTGAAGCAGGGGTTGGCAATAGAACTAAAAGTAGGTCCAGCACTATGAGGGCCAAATTCAAAGAAAGGTCATCTTATTTTTTTTTTAAGAGCACAGAGTAACTGGCTTTGATTTTTTTTCAAGTTTTAAGTGTATCTCACTTAACTGTATTATCAAGAAATGATAAAGCATGTTGAAAATCATTTGTAAATCTCCTGTGGGACACATAGTATCATTATTTCTTTTATAATCCTAAGTATACATATTGATATACACAGATACTGTCCAAGGGGAATTAAATTGATTTATTTAAAAAGAAAGCCACACCAGTATCATCTCGTTCCATGAGGTTTGGGTCCACATCTGTCAGTAGCCTTATTTGTATAGCCTTCACTTGAACAGAGAAGGTCTGACATGAATCTTTTGAGTGAATGTTCAGTTGAGTGAATGTGTATCACACTTAAAACAAAGTAGGATATTAATATTTTGTGCTACAAAATAACTTGTTAACAGTCTTCCCCATTTTTCAGGTGGTTAAGGAAATAACCTCTTTACCCTTTCAATGAATTATACAATGGTAGTAGCATAAATTTCCCATTATTGATATAGAAACTTTCTTCCAAGTGAGCTAAAATTTGTTTGTAAAATCTGTGTCATTTCTCTTTAAGTTTCACGAAAAATTTAAAAACTATTCCACAATGATAGGAAATACTTCTTCTTGTTAGTATTCAAATAATATGAAATTATTATGAACCATCTCTCTTAAGTTACATGGGCCACAAAACCAAACCAAAATAGAAATTAATTAAAAAATAAAAAGGTAGAAATTTTTGCATTCAGCACTTAGCCAGTTCCCATTATTCTAAACTCAGACCGTCTTGTTTTCCCACCACTCACTTTTAAAATTAAGTTTGTTTTTCGTTAACCTGTTTTCTTACTTGTCGTCCTACATAGGTTCAGTATTTCCACTGGCAGGAGAACGTGGCTCTGTCAGTCCCAGTGTGCATTTCCTCAGTCCTTTGAAATGGATGTTTACCTAGGATAGTAATCCTGCTGTTGTTACAATAGATGCTTAATAAATGCCTCAGTGAATATACTAAGGAAGGCAATTTGATGAAATGAGCAGAATCCTTGGGAACATGTGACCAGGAGTCTCATTCTGTTCCCTCTACTTAACCAGATATAGGATATTGAACAAATCAGCTTAATTTTCATGTTATCTACATTGTAGGGTTGCTGTAAGCATTCAGTATGCCTATGTAAATTAAAACCTTCCACAGTGCTGTCTGTGTATGAAACTGTTCTTGAATGAAGTAGGAATAAGCTTGAAATTTATTTAAAAATAGTTATTATGAGAAGTGTTATGAAAAACTATATATATATAGTTATATATAAAAGATATATAAAATATGTATAGAATCATAAAATTTTAAAAGTACAGTGGAACTTTAGAGATCTTTAAATTCATACCTTTTGTTTTATATGTGTTTACAAATTGAGGATATATATGTGTATATATGGTCTTATTATTAGACCTGTGGAAGTGTTCACATCTTTAAAATTATATTATTATTCCCACCATTACTGTTGTGCTCATTTGCACAATATTTAAATGCTTGTTGTTTAAAATTTATTAGTGTAAAATAATTACAAAAAGAACAGTTGATTGCTTCCTTAAGTTAATTTTTTTTTTGAAAGCTACGTCTACTTGATGGGTATAGAAAAATATCCTTTAAGGATTTATGAAGCACTATGATCAGTGTGAGACCATTCTTCTGTGGATATGTTTTCTATTTTTCATCCCTACCCCAACTTCTCTTTCTCTTTCTCTCAAAAAATGTAGAATTACTATATACCAAAATATTGAATGGCTCTAGTCCATGTGGGCTTTTTAAAAAAAATTTCAGCTAATATGGAATATTTCATTTTTCTACAGAGAATTTATAAGACTTGTGTGTGTGTGTGTATATATATATATTAAACTACAATTAAAAATAATAAAGTTATCATGTGCCCTCAGGAAACTTACTCTTCAGACCTCAGTTATGGACAAAATGAAAGTTCTGGATTAGGTGTTCTTTATAATTTAAAAGGATTAAAGTTTTTTTTTTTTTTTTTTGAACCCTTCTCGCTTACTTTAGATATTCTTTTTTTTCTTTTCTTTCTTTCTTTCTTTTTTTTTTTTTTTAGAGACAGAGAGAGAGTGTGTGTGCACTAATAGGGGAGGGGCCAAGGGAGAGAGAAGTAAGCAGACTCTGGGAGGCTTGCGGAGCTGGACGTGGACGAGCCTGACAGCGGGCTCCATTCCCGTGACCCTGAGGTCATGACATGAGCCGAAATCAAGAGTCTGTCCTTAACTGGCAGAGCCACCCAGGCACTCTTTGCTTTAGTTTCTTAGATCTATTTAAGAAAATCATTTCAATTTAATCTCCTATTCAGTCACCTTACCTTCAAGATATATTAAATAAACAGACTTATAGACTAACCCAAAGCATTCTTTCCTCCCTTCTCCCCATTCAGTGCCCCCGCACAAGAAACCTTTTTTGATTGCTTTAACTCCTTCTAAGCATCTCATAAACTCACCATATTTTGAGCACTTATGAAAATTTGCCATGAGCATTTGTCTCTAGTGCATCCAGGGTGTAGTTAAAAAGTTTTCAATCTTCCTTACTTTTTGATAGTGTGTTCTACATTCGAAATTTTCTTTTGTCAAGCTTTTCCTATCTGTCTGTACCTTGTCATATGATGCCTGAAATATAGGGGTGCTCAGTAAGTACTTGTTGATGAGTGAATCTGAATACTTGCACGTTAACCACTTTCAGAACGTTTACTTAGGCCTAACGTTTTCCTGCCCAACGCCACTCTCCCTCCCTTCTTTTTCTTTTCTCTCCCTCTTTCTCCTTTTTGTGCTACCCTGCCTCTTACAGAGTAACTTGCAATTTAGCTAAGTGACATCAGTCGGTAGCCATTTCCACCATCTGTTTTAGTTTTACATTTTTATTTTTATTTTTTATTTTTTTTTAAAGATTTATTTATTTATTTATTTGACACACCGAGAGAGATCACAAGTAGGCAGAGAGGCAGGCAGAGAGAGAGAGGGGGAAGCAAGCTCCCCGCTGAGCAGAGAGCCCGATGCGGGCCTCGATCCCACGACCCTGAGATCATGACCTGAGCTGAAGGCAGAGGCTCAACCCACTGAGCCACCCAGGCGCCCAGTTTTACATTTTTAGTAAAAGAATAAGTACAAGTGTCATTAAATAAGATTAATTTTAGTAAAATAAATATTAATCTTAGTAAGTGCATTTTATTAAATAATTATTTTATTATATTAAAATTAATATTTAGTAAAAATAATGTTAATGATAAAACCATTAGCTTTGCTGCCATCCATTTTACGATTGGTATACAGGACATGAATTATTTCTCCAGTTCTCTTTCATGAATCTGTAAAGCAAAATCAACTTTAAGATACCACAGTTGAAAATGCTTGTAGTGGAGTAAGTCCTGACAAACAATGGGAATGACACTGTGCTAAAGGCAAATTAAAAATGCATTTGGGATCTGCTTTGTTTCTGGCTCCTAGGTTTGTTTCTCAGGCAAATGTTTGCATGTCATCGTTTGAGAACACTGTGCTGGTCAGGAGTTTTTGAAAAAGTTATCAAATGTGAAAGGAGGGTGTAATGTAGTTTACCTTCATTCAGGCCTCTCAGGGTTTTCAGATGATTTTAATTGTTCTTGACCAGCTTTGGGTAACAACAACACATAAAAAGATGAAGAGTTTTACTCTTAACTTCCCTTGCAGCAGATGCCTCCTGGGGCAGGACCCATCTGTGTCCCCGGGGTGCCCCTCAGGCCCGGGACAACCTGAATGAAACTGCTGTTTTAATTGCGTCCATCTGTCATAATCCCGTAGTCAAGGGTTTCCTCTTAGTGCACACACCCCGTGTCACTCTCCTCATCAAATATTTTGCTTATTCACCCCTTAGAGAGCTGGGATATTACTGCTTTGATATGGACATATTTTCATATACGTTTAAAACTTCACTATGTGGCATTTTAGGGAAAATTGTGTTGACCAGAGCTTGGTTAGTGTTGCTCCAGCTGGTCTCCCTTTCCTTCATGCTTTGTTTACATAAGCCCTGTGAGGTGGAATTTGTGTTGTTGTTTCCCCTTCCCAGATACATCATGTCAGTAGGTAACGATCCAGGAACATTAAACAAACCCGGGAAACGTCCAGCCTATGTATTTTTGTAAGCTTACCCCCGTTGGGCTGGGTTTTAGATTCCGAGCTGAGGGAGATCACAAATAGAGTGGAGGGTGAGGAGTTGTGCACTG